CGTAATATCACACGAGTACTTGAAGATTCGAGAAAAAACAAAAATATTACCTCCGAGTCTATATTTGTTGGATCCATTTTAGAAATTGTTGAATATCTAATTTTTTTTGCAATGAATGTTGAAATTTGGCTTTTAAAGAATTATAGGATTTAAAAAAAAATGTAAAATGGTAAAAACTTAAAGTAAAAAGGTAAAAAGTTATGGTAAAAATGTGCCTGTTCGCCAAAATAGCGCCTGCGTATATAACCACCCTTTAAAAAATATATATATTATTTACCCCACTTTTTTATTTAACAACTTTAGTAAAAGTAGCTTATAAGCTCACTATCTAAATAGTTTAAAAATTAATTTGAAAAGTAAAACGTAAACGTTTATCTACTCTTAAAACAACTTATCAAATGTTAGAATTTATCAGCTGCTTAGAATGGGTTTAGCCAAACGAGCCCCTAACAATTAATTCCATAATTGGTCAGATTTTATGCACTCTAAACATTATTTCAATGATAATTATCATTTATGATTTCTTCCAAAGAATCAATAAACGTTAATTACAATAATTACAAAATTAAATCAGTAGAATCATATTGTTATTAATCGAGATTGCTTTCGATTTGGTAACGGTCTCTTCTCATGTGTATAAATAATCTCAATTTTCTACACTACAAACACATCTTTTTATCATCAAAAAAAAAAAAAAAAACACATCTTTTTAATATATTTTTTTATTAAAAAAAAAAAAAAAAAAAAGATGAGTGAAGCAAAGAAGATGATGCAATTCATATTTTGGGCATATTTTATATTTGGAATTGGATGTAAGAGTGGAATGGGTGCAGTAATAATAGATATAAGTCCAATACCATGTAATGGGGGTAATTGTGACTTTGTGTGCAGTCAACGCTATTGTGGGAATTTGTTTTGTGCAGGTGGTCAATGTTTTAGTGACCCTAAAATCTATGGTAAGAAACAAGTTTGCTTGTGTAACCCTAGAATATAATAACACTATCTTGGAATAAAGTTTTTTTCTCATTGTGGAGAATGAGAATAAATTTGTTGTTTCTTGAATTGTTTGTTTGTTTGTTTTTTTTTTTTTTTTTTCAATTTTTGATTTTTGTTTTTAGAATTTTCGAGCTCGATTGTGTAATGACGATTCTACAAAAAAAAAATCTTAGTCGAAGGTATGATCCTTTTCTCTACGGACTATCGGAAAACGATCTGCGGAAAACTTTAAGCTTCAATCCTAAAAATAATTGATGGAAAAATGTTGTAGAGGAAAATGGGAAAATCGAAATCATTCTCTTTCTTCTTCCTAATGCGTTTTACTACAAGTGGTTCTACCGTCGTTTGACCCAATTTCGGTCACTCTTACATGCATGAGGGGGTAATCCACGGTTTTAATCGATCTGGTCGGGCCCACATTGCTCCGCAATCATAGCCAACGTGATCCGTACGTGTCCTCAACGTGGAAAATATATACTTTTTTTATCCATATAATTAAAAAAATAAAATAAAATGGAGATCTAGTATTCGATCGTTCCTTCTTTGGTAGACGCACCATCGAAATTAGTTCGAACTCATAAAATGAGACGAACTTGACTCGAACTCATTTACACTCATTGAGTAATGCATACATTCTAAATCTTTTTTTTTTTTTGTTCAACATTTTTCTAATTATACATGTGCATTAGTGTTTTGTTCTCGTGGGATACAAAATTAGTTATACATATATATATATATATATATATATATATATATATATATATATATATATATATTTCTTTCTTATGTGTTTTTATTTATCAATCAAGACTGATTTACAAGGCCTTCCATTGTTTAACTCTCTTCTGATCAACTTCAATATATCATAAACCTGCATTCAAACCAACCTTCCTTCATTAATCAAATTAGGCCATGGCAAAACAGATAAACCGAAAACAGTAAAAGAAAATTTTCCGATTCAAATCGTGAAAATATAAACATTTGTTGTTAGGGCAAATTACGAGAAACTCCCTGAGGTAAGGTTTAATTACGAAAAAACACTCTTTTGTTTGGGCAATTACAATCATCCCCTGCAATTATGAATCTTCTTATACGTCCGCCCTTACGGTGTCAAATTCAACATAATCTTCTAGATTCCGTGGAATGTTCTCTAGTTTGCACTCGTTTTTTGCAAAAATGCAGTTTTTAATGCACCACGATCTGATATTTACAAGCCAAGAGACACATCTTATGATCATCTTGATTTGAAATGTGGAGCTCGAATAGGGTAAAACGGGTACAAACTGGAGAATATTCCACATAATCTAGAAGATTGCACTAAATTTGACACCGCAAGGGTGACGTGTAAGAAGATTCATAGTTGAGGGGTCGATGTAATTACCCAAACATGAGGGGTTTTTTCGTAATTTGAAGAGATAGGAAATGCATATATTAAATTACCTCAAAGTAGGCTGATAAAACTGTTGCATTTTGATTCAGTTGAACATATATCCTCTCAAGAAGGCAGAGAAGTGATTCCACTTGATCACCGAGTAAATCGACCTGCAGATGATACGGCAAATGTTTATATAATCTACTTATCGACAATCTTCGGTTTATATTGTTATTTTACGATACCTCAGTTTCAGCTATTTTCAAGTTGTGACATCTCGAAACGAAAGCCTTCTCGTAAATCGTCTTTCTCGTTTTCATCAAAACCACAGGTTTCTTTAGTGCATCAACTCCACTCTTCAATACTTCGACCCTGAAATGGCAACAAACCAAGACTCGAAAACCGTCGCCTACAACAACAACAAAAAAAAAAAAAAAAACCCAGTACCTTAAGCATTTCTGGTCCAGATTCTTATGCAAAACGTGCTCGACGTTTCCGATTGCGATCTGAAATTGCATGCTGATGACTTGGCACACAGTATCGAGAAAGGAACGGGTTTTTTCACATTGTTGATAATTTTCACCCAAGTCCTCGGATTCTTCGAGACTTTCTTCCAACTCCACCAACAATTCTTTACTCGTGTACAATTGCTGAAGAGCCCTTTCCAGTTTTTCGTTCACCGATCTAAACGTACTTTTGTCATCGGTCAACAGCCATTCTATTGCATTACGCTCTTCAATTTCTTCGCAGTCCAATATCACTAAACTATTATATTCGCCGTGCTCTTTTATTTCCGAACTCGCACTCAGCATTAAATCCTCCTCAACTTCTAAACATTTCAATAAAGAATCGAGCTTTTCAGTTTCCAATTTTGTCCTCGAGCGAGGCGTAGTACCTTCTTGATTCTCGGCGTTCGATTTCATCCTCGAGCGTGGCGTGCAGTGTTCTTGAAAATCGAGCTGTTTCAGTGCTTTTGATTCTTCGAAATGGTTCCGTGACAGCTGTTTAACAGCCTCGATTATGACGAACTGGTAGATATCTTCCCTCATGAGAGCCTCGAGGGCAAAACCGTCCTTTTCCAACCGCCACGCTTCAGCCATTTCCCGTAAAAACCCCGCATAGATATCCTCCTTAATCGTGCTCTCCAAGTAATGTACGAAACTCGAACTCGAATTCGAGCCTTCACAACACAATTCAGTAGTAATATCTTTAATCTTGCACCGAAAAAGAAGCTCGTAAATTTCTTCCATCGAAAAAATCTGAAAACGCAACGCATCCCTCTCTTCTTCTAGTTTTTCAATCTCGACCCGTAATCCATCTCTATCATCCGTTTGGTTTGCAAGATTACGGTCCCTTTTCGTAATATTTTCCGCATCGAAATTTTCTCGAAGATTGCTTATAAAACCCTTCACCAAAATCGACTCTATATCTCTCTCCAAAGTCCACCTCCATTGTTTCTCCAACGGAAGAACCTCAGCACTATGCATCCTCCCAAAAGCAAAATCCAACGTTTCTTTTAATATATTGATATCCGAACTCATCCGCTTAATCAATACATTTTGATTAATCAGCGGCTTTACGTTCGAATCATCCTTTGCAAAAACGGGGCTTCCAAATATTTCCTTGTCCAAGAAATCGAAGCTGAGATTAGGGCTCGAAACACGGGATTTTCTTGTCCTTCTTTCTGTGGTCAAGATATTCTTCTCGTCTTCGAGTTTCTGCTTGATGTTCAAAAACTGCTGATCGACCGAATTTTTCAAATTGAAGATGTCTTCCTCCCCTTGTGTAGTACTAGTTGATAAAGATTCGTCGTTCTTTATCGGCAAATCTTGAATACTATTATTCTCCTCGTTTTTCTCATGCAGGCAAAATAGCTCTCGATCTTTCAATTCGAGTGCTTGTCTTAGCTGCGACTCGTTTTCTAGCCTCTCGATTAACTCGATGTCCTTTTCGACTATGAGTTGTTTCATGTCTTGGATTCTTCCCTCGAGCCAGTTTTTGATCTCCATCAAGTCCAAGA